CCCCGAAGGCGGATGCTGCCCCAGCTGCTCAGGTGAGCCGCGTTCCCCGCGTCCCTCCGCTGCCTTCTGTAGTACTCCGTAACCTGTACCTGGGCCTCCATTCCAGGCTGTCTGCACGAGGGGGTGGCCCGGGCCGAAGGGGACGTCTTCTCCCTGCCGGATGGGAACTGCACGGTGTGTGTGTGCCTGGTGAGTCTGCGACGGCCGTGCGGGGGTCCCTGAGCACCCGTGTGGTAGGTGGCACTGTGCAAGTGCTGGGGCTGGAATGACCTCTCTTGTCCTTGCTGGCGCCCCACGGATCTCCTGGTTTTGACCCCAGGCCTCTCTCAAGCTGTATGTGGGATGGCGCAGGCTGCACTGCTGAGGTTTGTCCTGTCCTCAGCTTGTGCCACCTCTGCGGCGATGGCCTGGGACACATGGGCTGGGGCAGATCCCCTCCCTGACATAGCATCACTTCTATCATGGGAAAGGGACACGTCACCACCATGCTTGGCCCTGTGGCCATGAAGTAATGGCCCCGGCTGCCGTGCTCTCTCTTCCTCAGGCTGGCAACGTCTCCTGCATCTCCCCCGAGTGCCCTCCAGGCCCCTGCCCCAGCTCCTCCACTGCTGACTGCTGCTCCTGCCAGCCAGGTGGGTCCCGCCACCCCATGGCAGCCACCCTCCCCAGGCACACGTGGGGCGAGAGGGAAGCCGAGGGGAAGCAGCTCTCCCGAGGATGGGCTCTCCTGCAAATTCATGCTTTGCTCTCTGTCCCCGGCTGATCCCAGCCCTGGCCTCACCACCTCTCTCCTCTCCAGCAAAGTGCAGCTTTCACGGCCACACGTACGTGCATGGAGCCCGGTTCAGTCTGGATGGGGATGACTGCACCACCTGCGTCTGCCGGGTAGGTTCCTGAACCCACCAGCATGGGTGTCCCGGGCAGGGGATGTGGGTCTGGTACACTCCTAGGGATGCTCCTGGGCGCAGGCTTTCCTGCCCTCCTCCACCATGCTGCTGTGGGGACCTGGCCCTGCTCTGGGTCCTGCCAGCACCCTGGAGCAAAGACCCTGCGCTCAGTGGGGGTGCGGGGTGAGCTGTGACGTGTCCTCGTCTCCTCAGAGCGGCGAGGTGGAGTGCTCCTTTGCCCCGTGTCCTGCGCTGGACTGTCCTCAGCACGAGTGGCACCTGGGTCCCGGACAGTGCTGCTTTGCCTGGGGGGCCCCGCCAGCCCCCTCAGGTGAGCTGTCACTGCAGGGACCTGGGAGACAGGGTGTGGGAGGTCAGCTGAGGACAAGGAGAGAAGAATGTGGGGGTTGCATGGGGACAGGTAGGGTATTTGGGGACAATGTGGGGTTTAGAGGCAGAGTGGGGACCTGGTACCAGATGGGAGGTGCATGTGCTGTGCTGCACATGTGTGCACAGCAGTGTGGACACGTGTGTATAGGGCGAGGGGGACACAGCAGCATATGTGCGTTAGCAAGATGCAGGGCTTGGTGTGACCGTGCACGTGCCCCATGTGAGCTCTGCCAACCCTTTCCCCACCAGGTTGCTTTGTGGATGACAACGGTGTGGAGTTCCCTGTCGGACAGATCTGGTCTCCGGGCGATCCCTGTGAGTTATGCATCTGCCAGGTGAATGAGAACCTGCTCTGCTTCACTCCTCCTACCTGTCCCTGCCCCATGCATGGCTCCTGGGGCCAGTTCCCATCCTGCGCTGCACCCGTAGCTCCCTGGCACTGTGTGGCAGGGGGAGGCTGCAGGGGTAGGGGGCTGGGAAGGAACGAGAGGTTGTTTAGATGCCAAAGTAAACTGCCTCTCTGTCTGCCTCCGTTGTTGAACCTGCTGCCTCCAGGCTCCCAGGACACATGGACCTTCCCTTGGGATCCCTGGGATGCTTGTGGCCAGTAGCTCAGTTGTTCCCTGCTCCATGTGACAGGGACAAAGTGTATGCCTCGTAGCAGAGTGGCAATCCAAGCACAGCAGCTTCTATTGCAGCTGCTGGTTGGTGACAATGGGTCACCAACAACATTCTTTTCCCTGCCAAGTTCCAGGGAGCGCCCTGGCTTTGTGTGCCCTAAACACCTTGGCTCCATCTTCCCTCTGGAAGATCCTGGCAGAGACAGCTGTGCCTGACACTGAGGTTCAGCCAGCTCTGGAATGGAGCAGAGCAGGGGCAGGACAGGTGGCACTGGTGCTGGCCCTAGGCTTCTGTCAAGTGTCTCTCTCTCGCAGGCAGATGGGTCTGTGAGCTGCAAGCGGACGGACTGCGTGGAGACGTGTCCCTACCCCATCCAGATCCCCGGGCAGTGCTGTCCCGACTGCTCAGCAGGTGACGGGGCCTGAGGGAGCCAGCGGGTGTGAGCTGGAGAGGTGGCAGCCACACACCCCTGTCACTTATCTGAGCACCTTCCACCAGCCTGAGGCAGCACTGGAGCCAGTGAGCCTGTATTTCAGTGGAGGGGTCTCTGGCAGCCCTGAGTCCCTGCTGAGCAACCTGGGGAACATAAGCTTACTCTTTCCTCCCCACAGGCTGCACCTACATGGGAAGGATCTTTTACAACAATGAGACATTCCCATCTGTCCTGGACCCCTGTCTAAGCTGCATCTGCCTGGTGAGGGCTGCTTCTGGGGGTAGACCTCCTAACAGCAGCAAAAATGTCAGCAGTGGCTGGGCTTTGCAGGTGGGCACTGTTCCCTAGGTGCTTGGGGCTTAGCTCTGGCCTATCTTTTGCGGGGGTAGCCTGGCACCGAAGCGTGAAAGTGTGGGGCAACATCATCTGTGAGTCAGCACGCAAGTGAGTGTTGAGTTTTGCAAGCATTAGAAGGTGAAAGCCCTGGCTTTGCATGTAGAGAAAGGACCCTTCCAGATCCTGTCCTTTTGGCTGGCTCCATTTTTTTTTCCCTCTGTTTTAGGAAAAAAAAAAAAAAACCTTTTAGTGGAGTAACTCCCTTTTCCCCTGCCTGGGATCCCTAGGCTGCCCCAGTCCATACTAACGCAGAGCCTTTGCGTGTGTCTCTGCTGTGTCCTGCAGCTGGGCTCGGTGGCCTGCTCGCCCGTGGACTGTGCCATCTTCTGCACGTACCCGTTCCACGCTGAAGGGGAATGCTGCCCCGTCTGCAAGGGTAAGTAAGCAACAGCCCCGAGCCCCCCTGGGCTGCGGGCAATTGCTGGGTCCCCTCTCCCAGCCCAGCAGAGTGGACACTAGGTGGGATGAGCTGAAGAGGCTGCTTGCAGGATTTGGGCAGCGATGGGAGGAATGCGCTTGGCACCCGCTGCAAGGCCGCCTGCCGCGCGGCCGCTCGCTCGGCTGCTGTGAGTCCTCTCCTCGCTCTCTGCAGATTGCAACTATGAGGGCAGGAAGGTGGTGAACGGGCAGACGTTCAGCCCCGAGGGTGAGCCCTGCACGCGCTGCACGTGCCAGGTGAGCAGGCGCTGCCGGGTATGGAGAGCTGCCAGCCCTGGGGTGGGAGCAGGGCTGTGCTGCTGCTGCTGGCTTGGGGCAGGGCTCCAAACTGGGTGAGCAGAGACCTTCCCTTCCCCGGTGGGGCCGCTCTGGGTGCTGCGGGGAGCGCGCAGCGGGCGCTGGGGGCGCGCTCTCACCCCGTGCCTTTGCCCTTGCTCTCAGCTGGGGGAGGTGAGCTGCGAGAAGAGGCTGTGTCCCCAGTCCTGCGTGGAGCCTGGCCTGCTTCCAGCTGCCTGCTGCCCACCCTGCCAAGGTAATGGGGATGCCAGCAGTGCCTGGGGTGCTGGGGCAGGCTCAGTGTGGCTGTGGGATAGCCGTGCCCTTGCTGTCAGGATGCTCTGAGTGGGATGGGTGTTGCAGGGCTGAGCACAACCTGGCTGATGGTTGAACCCTAAGGCCCTTGGGTGCTTTGTGCTGGCTGTAGCTGCAGCCCCTGTGTGTCTTCGGAGAGGGACCTGGGGGCAGGAGGTGAGGTGCTAACCAAAGGTGCTTTCTCTGCAAGTGGCAGATACCCAGGTCCTGCAGCAGATCCATGACCCATCCCGTGAGGATGTGCCTGCCCATACCCCGCGTCCCCGTGTCCTGGCCTCCACGGGCTCCCCGCGCCGCCTGGCCCAGCTTCTGCTCCATGCCAGCCTGCCTCCCCTGGACACTCAGCCCCCAAGCGCCATGAGCCCCTCTCCGGGCAGCGCAGTGCCTGGTACGTCCCCTCCACCTGGGCCAAGCCCCACAGAGCAGCACGGAGGGCCATTGGAAGACCTTCTGCCCACTGCTGTCCCTGGGACCTCCGGCTTCCTCGGCACTGCGGGCAGCTCAAGCCCTGAGATTCAGGGACCTCCTGAGGATGTGGAGCCCTCGGCCCCAGCCCGCAGGGACCGTCCCGAGGGGCGCGTGGCTCTCTAGGGGCCTCGGTGCTGCACGTGCAGGGAGAGAAGGAGGAGGAAGGGGCCTGCAGGACCAGCAGGTCTGGCCTGGCCAGCGCCTGGGGGCGGGTGGGTGGCTGGGGCACTGAGAGCAGTAGGGGGTGCGCAGGGAGACTGAGGGTGCCTGCCCCCTTCTGCCATGGGGCAGATGGGGTGTAGAGCCCAGGCCCCTTGGGTCCTGTGGGTCCCCTCCTCCTCCCTGCCCTGGTACGCAGGGACTGAGGGGCAGGATGGGACCTCAACGTGCCCCCGCTCTGGGTTCATGCAGGAGGGGAAGGGGGAGATGCCCTGGCCTGGGGGCAGTGCTAAGCTGGGTGCCTCATACCAGCCCCACGGTGCCACGGCCGGGCACAGAGATTCCTCAGGTCCTCAGGGGACCCTGGACCCTTGGCCCACAGCAGGGACAAGAGGGCAGGCTGGCTTTCCTCCTGCTGCGGGCCAAGCGTGGGCCTGGCCCCTGGCTCCCCTTGCAGCATCAATAAAGTTGCCCTGCTATTTATGCCCAGCGTCCTGTGCTCTGCGAGGACAGGGGTAGAGCCAGAGGTCGGGATGGACCGTGGAACTGCCTTGCCACGTGGCCCCGGTGAGGCCGGTGCGAGGCCAGGGCTCGGCGCCCTTTATTGCACAGGCAGGTTCACAGGGCAGGCGCCAGCCCTACCATGTTGTTGGCCCTGTCGAAGACGCTGTAGTAGCGGCGCAGGAAGACGTCCCCCAGGATCCAGAGGTCTCCGGCTGTTGTGTGGAGGCTGAAGGCCTCGAAGCCGCTCATGCAGGAGCCGTCATTCAGCTAGCGGGGACAGGAGGCAGCAGTGAGCATGAGTGAGCGCCTAGGCAGGAGGACAGCAGCGTTGCCCTCCCAGGCCCTTTCTGCCTGCCACCCACTACATTGCAGCTCCCTAGGCTGGTTGCAGGTTGCAGGTGGCACGGTGGCATCTAGCCTGGCAGCTGTCCCTACCTGGCGGATGTAGGCCTGGGGTGGCAGTGGGAACTGGATGCCGTTGATGATGAAGATGATGTCAGGCAGCAGGCTGATGAAGCTGCAGTTCACCATGTACTGTGGGGTTGGGGGAAGTGACAGCTGTGCCTCAGGCCTGGCCCTTCCTCGCGCCCCCCGCCAGCCCTGCTGCCACCCTGTCCTTTCCCTTCCCACAAACCGAGCCGTTTTTGGCCTGCGTGGCACCAATCTCGTATTGGATGTTGTTGATGCCAGCAGCAGGCCCAGCCACCAGTGACGTGCCGCTGTCCAAGATGCCCTGGCAGCCGTAGGGGCAGGCGATGGGGCGGCCGTACATGGTGATGCTGGGGAGAGAGGGGCCACCCGTGAGATGAGCATCCTGATGGGGACCTGGTGGCACAGTGAGGTGGAGGGACGGGTGCTACCTGTCCACTTTGATTTGCCAGTAGGTTTCTGAGGACAGAGGAATCCAGCTGAGGTTCCCAGTGAAATAGGTGTCGTCGATGCCCCCAAACATCACAAAGCTGCCCTTCTCCTCATCGCTGGAGGAGAGAGACAGCAAGGGCCAGGGCAATGATGAGGGATGTTCTGCTGACTGCCATGGAGGTGGGACACGGCCCTTCCCCGGGGACTTCTCCTGCCTTTTCTCCTGATGGAGGTGATCAGGGGGCAAGGGAGGGCAAAGAGAATGGTGGTGCCCTCTATGTCCCCTCGGAGGTGGCTGCTGTTCCTCTTCTGCACAGTGCGCAGAAGAGGGTGTACGGACTCCAAACGAGGAGACTTGCTGGGGGAAGGCTAGCAAAACATGAGCTCAAACCTGCTTTGGGAATGAGGCTGTATCAAAGTTAAGCTCTGCCCATCAGCGGTGGTTGCTCTATCCGTTGTGTAGAGCACTAGCTTTGCTGCGTGGCTGTGCCGCCAGCCTCTCCCGCCCTGATGACTGTGCACTGTGCCTAGAGAGCAGGAGGAAGGGTCCGCCCGGGGCCAGCTTGGACTTACGGAGTCAGGTAGATGGAGAAAAGATTCTGGAACACCAAGCCTTGACTCATCATGTTGTCAAAAACTGGGGTGGCGCTGGCAAAGGAGATTCTAGGGAAAGCCAGCCCCAGGAAGCCATCAAAGGGAGCATAGTAGAGGAAGGAGCCGGGTTCATACATGCTCAGACCGAAGATCTGGTTGGGCACCTGGATGTCCCCGACCTGTGTGGGAGAGCATGCAGGATTAGGTGTGTGTCCTGCGTGACAGACGGCTGGGAGAGAGACCTGGGTCGTGTCAGTGTGACTCCCTTCCTCGCCCTGCCCTGGCTTCCTTCCCCTGCCGTCGCCTTTCCTCCTGCTGCCCAGGGGCCAGGACTTGTCCTTTCCATCCTCCCGCGCACTCACCCGGACGATGTCGTAGGCCAGGTAGCCTGTCATGCTGCCGGTGCCGTACCAGGTGGAGATGTTGTTGGCAGTGCCATGGTAGGTGGAGGACAGGGCTGGGTTGTAGCGCTGGTGATCAGCTGTAACAGCAAAAGTGGGTGAAAACCAGGGTCAGCAGCCAACATCACATGAGGGGGCTGCTGCAGCTGTTGCTTCTGGCGTCCACCAGCACTGGCTGGGGTGATTCAGATTCTTTTGGGCAGCAGAGCAACTTCAACTGGGCTGAGACATGGGTCAGGGCCAGGGGCTCTCATTCCACTGGCCTTGGTCGTGCAACACTTACCACAGGCATCACTGGAGCAGTACACGGAGGGCACCCACAGGTTGGAGGATCCTGTGTCGAAAAGGACAGCAAACTCCTGTGGTGGGCTGCCGATGGAGATGGTGCCCACATACTCCAGCTGCCAAACCAGGATAGAGAGCGTATTAGATGCCCCCCACTGCAGCGGTAGGGCCAGCCTTGCTGGTCCAAAGTGTGCCCAAAGAGCCCATGCACATGGTTCCCCTGCCCACCACCACTTCCCGTGCCAGCTGGAGGCCAATGCAGTCCCCAGCTCTGCTCTCACTCACGTCCATGTAGTTTGCCAGGGGCTCAGAGGGAGCTGTGGTGGGGAAGTACTTGGCAGCCAGCGAGGGTGGGTGTTTGCTCAGGAAGTCTTCCAGCAACTGCAGTTCCATGAGGATTTGTCTCAGGGACTTTGTTTTCCTCAGGCTGACCCTGAGATAGAAGGCTGCAGTTAAAGATGGAGAGTAGACACATGCTTGTGTTCTTTTCCCTGCTTCTGGTCAGAACTTTTCAGGGGTCTGTGCAAAATTCCTGGAAAAAGGCATCTTTTTTCCTTTTTTTTTCTTTTTTTTTTCTTTTTTTTTTTGTCCAGGAAAATAACAAACAAACAAACAAACAAACCAAACCCCAGATTTGCGCCTCCAAGAAGCCACAGCTTGGGTTTAGCCAGGTGATTTCCCATGAAGAAGGTGCTCATGACAAATGCGTGAGAGCCCAGCCCTGCATCCAGTGCGGTTCATCTCTCCTGCGCCAGGATAGAAGCTGCAACTAGTGGCAGGGGACAGGGATGGCCTTCCCCAGCCTGGCTGCACCCTGTGTCCTACCCTCGGGGTGCAGCAGAGCTGGCCGTGGACTCCCCGCCGAGCCCCCCGCGGCGACCCGTGTCTGCCCACAGCCCCATCCAGCCCCTTCCCGCCCCCA